TCCTTCTGCAGCTGTTGTCCAGCTAAGGTGGTTACCATTTTCATACTACGCAATCCAAACGAGTACTGTGGCTGACAAGAGACCTTTCAAAATAAAGACATGCTCAATTGCGATGCTTTCGAATCTGGTATCATGACTTTTCTTAGAGGTAATGGTATTTTCTTTAAGTAATATTGTTTCAGTCATTTATTGCTTCCTCGAGAAAACTTCCTGGCACCTACATTAGGACAGAGTAAGAAACTTTAGAAAGAATTTCAGTAAGTTGCATTCGCAGACAGGTTTAAACCAATGGTCAGATTTATCACAATATATCCGCCTTGAAGCAATCCAGTCAGCCATTTCCGAGTTACCATGTGCCTGTTTCAAAACAAGTTCTCGTGCAAAACTTTTCATATGAAAATGAGATTGATTTGTAACATGTACGTGGAACTCACTTTCATATGAATGGTTTCATACGAAGACTCGTTTTGGAACAGAGGCAAAAGGGAACTCGGACGTTTGCCCGATGGTATACAGCAAAGAAATTTCAGCAATAAAACAGATTTAATGAAGTGTTAGCTATAGGCGCTTAGATGATCGACTCAAAATGTCTCTAAAGATTCAGCTTGCTAGTATACAGCTAGCTTTATCAGGCAGGACATTTCTGTTACCTGTTCATTGATTAACTTGAGGAAGGTTTTGATCTTCAAAGCAAGTGGCTTGGCTTCAGTAAAGCCACAGCATACCAACCATACTTCAAGCACAGGAAGACTATCCGGAAAGAGCATGGAGACCGGTCTGAGCTGAGCCTGACAATAATAAAGAATACAAAGAATAAGACTGCACACAACAAAAGTTCTCTTATGCCTCGTCCACACTACGCCGGAGAAATTTGAAAACGCAACTTTATTTCTACGGTTAGGCCTACCGTCCACACTTATCCGTGACGAAACCGGCGCTTTTCGCAAACGCTCTTCAAATTGGAGGAATTTGAAAACGCCGGCTTTTCGTTTTCTTGTAGATGTAAAACATATTGAAAACGAAACTTTTCGAAATCGATAAGGTTACAACAATCATGATATTTCCCCTGTCCAAGTTTTCCTCAAATACAAATACAAAAAGAGCGGTGACTGTTATGTTTTCAAATTTCTCCAGCGTAGTGTGAACGGAAAGCATTTGATGCGTTTTCAAAGTGAAAACACCGGGCCATAAAAACCATTCCCTTTACCAAGTCAATACCGTTAGAGTAGTATAGAGACTCACCCTAAAGTTGTCTGGCAGCTTAGTATTTAAACAGAAGCCACCAGACATGGTCATGAAACAACCATACATCCCACTAGCCGCCATGAACTGCCCTTCCAAGACAATATTACCCAACAACGGCATTTCAAACTCTCTGATGCTGATTTGCTTCTTGTGCACCCGTGCTGAACTGTCTTGAAATGTCTGAGGAAGCTTGGGTTGTTGTTTTAGTGGGGACAACGGCTGAAGTTTTACATCATCGTAATAATCTGCTTCTTGGAGATCACTTTCTTTTGAGATGGACAGATGCCTCTTTCTTTTAGAAAGGTGCTCTCCCTGAAATGAAACAAGCAACGAAATAAATATGTGCATGTTAAAATAAATGCCATAAAAGTTATGATGTTCCCTGACCCTTCCACTCCTACCGTTGACAATCCTAATTTCCTTGCTGCTGTTGTTGTTGTTATTTAATTTACATTTCCTCCCGTCTTTTCTTGATATCTCAAAGCGAAAAACCAAACAAGCAAACAAAACAAAAATAAAAGTACCACCACTATTCATCCCATGTAACAGCATCAATTGTTGTCAAGCCACAGGGATCACTGAATAATTAATTTACGTAAAAATCGACGGCAGTGATATACAGGCTGTATACTGGACAAAGCTTAAGTGTCTGAATCAATATCTTAGCTCGCTTTTCAACGGAACATCTTCGTACATAAATATTGAAAAACTACACTGTTTTCTGGTTACACATTAATGATTATCCTCCCATACAGCTGTGTTTCGTCGCAGATATGACATGAAAACAGTGAAGCAAATTTTAGCCTTACCGATGCTTGATTTGGCCTGTAGTGAGGTGAAAAGCCTTCTTGTGGCAGCGAGATTAGACTGGCCAAGCTGTTCCTTCGTTTGGGTGTTTCACCGTTCTAAAAGCACCATGAAGACAAGACCAAGTAGAATGAGCAATGAGTGAATGTATTAGTTAGCTTTATATAATAATCAAATGAATGCGCGCGCTCTGATTGGTCAATCAGAAATGGTTTATTGTGCCAGTAGACTCATGGAAATTTCGCCTGTCTTCTGAATTATTAGATAAAAGCAATAGACCACAAGTTTCTATGGTTTAGAGGCATGGTAAACCACTTGGGATGTTGGAAGAACACTCGCAGAATTCGTAAATAACTAGCCTGCGGCTCGTGATTT